GATTGTATATGCACTAAAGAGATCCACTCCTGAAATGCTTGCAGGTTAATATGTTTGACATAAGCATGATATCATCTAATCTTCACTGTTAACCATTAAAAGCAATAATTTTAGTGTCAAGGGTTGTGTATCACCATAGTATAGCAAACTCAGTGGTAGGAAATACTTTGAAAATTAAGGCTATTTTGTTATTTGTTTTATCAAGACCATAGTTGGTAATATTTTTTGATCACTCTCTGTAAGTCTGTCTTAGATATCTTTTCTTTATCATAACTCCTAAAAGAGGCAATAATACAATGATTCATTTTATCAGCTCTCAGATCTTTCTTACAGTTTAGTTTTAAATAGGATGACAGTTGATTAGTTTATTAATCATTACTTAATGAGGGCAGAGTCTACCCAAAGGAACTACATCAAAGTACCTATGCCAAAAAGTAGGAGAACAAAGAACAATTGTTTTTGTTTAAGTTTCTCCTAAATACTGTGATCCATGATACAGGATGCAATTATATCTAACTTCCAAAAATTAATGTAAACCAAGATTTTAAAAGAAACTATGAGATCACAGAATCACAAAATAGCTCACACTGGAAAGCACCTCTGAGGATCACCTAGTTCAAGCTCCCTGTTCAAAGCAGGGTCAGTGAGAGCAGGTTGCCCAAGGCTGTGTCCTGTTGGGTTTTGAACACCTCCAGGGACAGACACTCCACAACCTCTCTGGACAAGCTGCAGTTTTGCAATACTTGTAAACATATGGAAACATTTAAGATTAAAAAGTGCCTTATTTTATACAGGCAGTTGAACAGTAGTAGTGAGCTGCATTTTGCATTTCTTGATTGAGCAGCTATAAAACATTCCACAAGACTGAACAGGGATCAATACCAACATAGTCCTTGCCATTATGTAAGCATTTTTTTTCTAACTGCTGATCCACATACGGTGTTTATAAATCTAAATAGTCAGCAATTAGAGGGGTTTGCTGTTTAGCATGAGCAATAAACATTATCAGCAGAAGATTACCAGTTCAAACCATGTTTCAGTAGACCAGATCCTCATATTTGGACACAGGTTTACTCAGGCTCCTGAGAAATTGTATATGGTGCTGTAAGCTCAAGTCTGGTCCTAGGTTTGAATCCAAACTCATCTTTTTTCCACATTATTAAAACTTTCTACCTAAAAATTCTCTTCCCCAAAATTTCACAGATCTTCCACGATCAACAAAGCATGCTGAATGTTCCCCAGGGACCCCAGGTATTTACTTCGAGTACTTTCATCCCTGGGCTGATAGAAGCTACTTCTTAATAGTCCCTGACTCCCCACTGTTAAAAGCAGATTTCAAGTTTCACCAGTACTTAGCTTCCATTTCACAAGCTGTCAAATGGCTAGCTAAAATGTCAGAAAAAGGAAATCAGTTCTGCAGAGTTTTCAGGTTTTACTGTTACCAGTTAACTGATAATTGGCCTACTCATGCCTAAACAAAAATAATAAAAGTTAACACTTTACTAGTTACTAAAAAAAGCCTGGCAATCTTGAACAGCATTAATTTGCATGTGTTAAGTATGGCAATATAATGCAATACAGAAAAATTCCACCCTCTCCTTCCCATGAGGGTTTTGGTGAAACGTGGGCCCTTCCTCACTTCTGCAGCGTAAGCACCGACCCTACCTCCAGGAGCAAGCTCTTAGTTTAAGCACTGTAACAAATACAGGAGACTTAGAGATATTTATTTGGTATTTATAAAGAAGAACACAATGGCTATATATCAGAGGAAAGGTACACTTAGATTTTGATAATGTCTCCAACTTTGACCAGTAACAGATGCATATGGAAGAATATATGAACACAACAGGCTTCTTTCTCTCTTTCAATACAGTAGGACTGTAGCATGGTTTTTTAAGGGAAAGGATGGTATTAATCTAGCTAAATGTGGATATCTCCATGGCAGTTACGAATGTATGAGGTTCCTGGAATAAGGAACCTGAGGGTCTCTGGAATAATCGTTTTGTAATCAGTGGAAAATTATAAAAGACTTCTGATTCCAGGTTCTAAATGTCACCATAAAGTAGATACCAAAAAGACTGAGCAAATCATGTGTGTCAGCACACTTAGTGGAGCAGGGAGGAAGTCTTGATGTATAAAGCTGATCTGCTGACTGTGGGAGCTGATATTGCTAAAAATAAGTGGTTGCTCATCATCAATGCAGGATGTAACCACCCCAATAAAATTAAAAAAAAAAAAATGCTAGAAGAAATTGTGCGTTTAATTATCAGGGCACTTACTAGTTCTTCCTCAGTCAACAGAGTTGTCATGGAGCAATGTAAGTTTTCTCATTTTCCTGTTTGTTTTTTGTCTACTAAACTGGTGATTTGAAGCATACAAATTTTTGGAAATGTAAATAACATGTCCTGACTACCAAAGACCAGTTAGAGAAAGTGATTGGTTTTTAGGCAAAAAACTTTTTTTATCACCAGTCTCCTGTGACTTCTCGGTACCTTTTTTCTCTTTTTGTTGATTAGACTCACATTCCTCCTAAAGGTTTTTTGTAACATTATTGTTTTTCCAGCAAAAGGTATTTAGCAGTTACTCCTTAAGAAAAGAGAAATCAGCTTCTTCCCTACAAGCTTTTTCCTTAGACCCCAGGGCTATCAGTCAGATCAATTAAGTCATGTTTAAATTGCTTTGATTTTAAACATTCATGAATCCACAAGGCAGCCAATAAAAAGAAAATACCCCTATACTGACAACTTAAATGGATCTCTGTGTGAGCCAAGGCTGTTGAGATTCAATTTCCTTTTGGTTTGCTGCTTTGTTCACGTGTGCTTGGCCTTGCTGACCAAGTGAGTGACGGCGGTGCCATTGCACTCGGGAGTGAAACTCTCACCAGTGGAAATGAGACTTGATTTCCGAATCCCAGCACGGCAGTGGTACTCAGCTAGGCTCTTCCTGCTGGTCTTTTAAATTAAAGCAAGTCGTTGATGACAGCCTTACGGCTCCCCTGGTAAATTTTCTTCTGAAGCCATGGAAGCAGGATGTGATAAACCTAGGATGGTAGCTGGATGCATTTTGTCAACAAAGCTCTTTTTTTCACAAAAGTATGTTAACTGCTTTCTCAAATATCTAAAACTTTCCAGTTTTATTCTTGTTCATTGCCAATACATAGAAGAGCTGGCTTGTCTTGTCTTGCTCAAGAGGTTTTTACTGTGGTACTCAACATCCTATGCTACGATAGCATTATGAAGACACACATTGACAGCAAAACAAAAATAACTTCAGTTCCTTCCTTTCTAGAAGCTTTCTAAAGACAGAGTGCATGCTGTTATATTTGTATGGCAGAAAATCAGGGGGAGCTGCATTTATTCGTAATTACTGTTGCTTTATTCCAGAGGAACTGAGCTTAAAACCAGATCTGCTCTAACAAGCAAAAGCAAGACCATGCTTTTGAATGGTGGCTGGTAAAGGAAATGGGCTAAATTTTAGGAAAAGACAAATCTATTTTGGCAGTAAGCAGCTGCTTTACTGCCTTCTGAGTATCGCTTTTTAGTCATTCTGCACAGTTTGTATTTCTGTAAACTGCTGCTGCAAAAACAGATAAATTCTTACTGAGAAAAGTTATGAGCAAATCTGATATTTCAAATCCTAATCCATGGAATCCTATAGAAAATTTTGTAATATAAAGTTATAGTCTTTATTTGTCATATTCTTCCATTGTCAAATAATTTCATCTGCTTTATTCCATGAACAATTCTCATTATATTTTATTTAGCAGCTTTTTTTCCTATGAGTTTATCTCCACATTTCACTTCATTATTTTTCCCATTTGTTATATGCAACAGCACAGGATTTTGAAATAAAAATATGACTGAGGTGAAGACTTGGTCTTATCTGTGTAAGTGGTAGCAAGCTAAGTGTTTGTGGTTTTCCTTGCTGTGTGGATGATGTGGTGTTCAGATGTTTTGTAATACATTGCTTTTAGTGGACTATTAAGAATTCAGTATCTTGTCCCATAAAGCAATTTTTTCCTCTAGAACCTGAGGCTTGGATTTTGACATTTGTACATTAGTGAGAAGTTAATCTCTTTGAAGTCATCCTTATGATTAACTACTTCAAAATATGAATGCAGCTCTCAGAACCCCAGTTGTAACTCCCAGATATGAATCTACAGTTTGCTTTTTGTAAGCATCTCACTGTAACCAAAAGATTTCTCATCTTATCAGAATACACCTCACATGATTTATAGAGGGATTGACTCTACAAATACTGAGCGTAAAACTTCCTTATAGCGATACCTTGCTCCATACTGAGTCTCCTGGCTCAGTCCTGGGATACTTGGAAGACACAACAGGTTAGATCAGTAGACAGTATTTTTCAGCCTGTTTATCTTAGCTCTGTTCCTATCTTCCACAATGAATTAAGTTCAGCTGTTTTTTCACTTTTTCATAACAAAAGATATGGAAGAAAAATTTAAACCTGAATATTTCCAGGCATTTAAAAATTTAAATATTTCCAGTTTGAAATACGTAGGTACATTTTTCATTTAAAATCAGTTTGCCCAACTGCCTTCATCTTGTATTTTCTTAAGTGAGAAAGTAGAGAAAATGTATTTGAATTACCAAATCAGATTCTCAAATTTAGTCCCATTTTGAGGCTCAGCTTCTTAACAGCAATATGCCACTGTAGGGAACAGTTATCTTCCAAGACCATGGCTGGCCAGGAAATGTCTGATATATAAAATGTTTTGGTTTCTTGCCGTGTTGGTAGGTGTGCATGTTTTTGATATTGCAAAAGTTTTTCAGTATCACACAACCTAGACTATGGAGAGTGCATGTGTAGTTTGAATCAGATAGGAATTAATCCCCTGACTTGTTTCAACAGGTAAGTTATAGCTGATGGGACAGTAACATTCAACAGTCTAATCTGTGTGAAGTGAAAGGGCTTTGTTAATGTGTCGTGCCTTTTAAGCAACATTCACATCAAATCTTCTGTTTTGCCGTCTTAGGAATGCAGGTGCTGGAATGGAATGGCATACCCTTGACTGGGAAAACTTACGAAGAAGTCCAGAGCATTATTGTTCAACAGAGTGGGGAAGCAGAAATATGTGTAAGACTGTGAGTTTTTCCCCATCTTTCTGTTTCCATTTTTTTTGGCTTTTCATGGCTTTTTTTTTTTTTTTTTAAATTTACAGTTGTTAAGGTGGAACCTTTGTAAGCATGAAGCATCAATGTAATAATTAACAAGAGCTCACTGTGAGTGTGGGAGGTCTGTTTGTTTGTTCTTTTTTTCTTTTAAAGTCATAAGGAAAGATAAGCTGAGGCAGATGTTAGTAATTATGCTTTTATAAATAATGATGTCTCCATTGTCAGGCCACAATCTCCTCTCATTGATACACATACAATTCACTGAAATTACTGGGGTTAGAAAAAGATGGTAATTTAGCACTAACTTGACGTTTACTGAAATCTGTATCCTTTAGATGAAAGTCATTTAAGCATCATGAGAAATGTATAAAATTACATTCAATCCATTAAAGATTTCACCTTAAAAGAACCTTTTCTTCTCAGCTCTTTAACAGTGCTGCAAACATGTATCAGCTAAGAAGGGGCCATGCTTGGGAGCTGCTTTCTGTCATGAACCACTATTCATTTATCTACTTAATACAATAATGAGGGTATGAGGAAAGAGTTTCTTTTGTCTCAGGCTTCTCATTGCTTTCTTTAGGGATCTGAACATGCTCTCGGACTCTGATAATCCCCAGCACCTGGAGCTGCATGAGCCAGTAAAGGCAGGTAAGTGATAAGTCGTTGCTTTGATACTGCAGGACTGGGTAGCAGCTGAAAATTGGATTTGATATAAGCTAGAGCATTAGCATTGTAAGGCGTTACATCCCAAATCTTGTCATGGGCAGAAAGGGGACCACACCTTATACACAAAGCCAAGTATTTATTGTTGGTTATTATTATTAGCCCAGTTCAGTCCATACTGACACAGTCTACATATCTAGTTAATACAAAGGAAATCTCAGTAACAATACTGCAGCTAGCATTTGTTATCCAGGGAAACCTCCTGCTAGCTACCCTTTCATCTACGCATGCCACAGAAAACTGTGGCATAATGGTCCCCCTTTGGCAGCTTCTCGGGGCCCTGCGGGCACGGCTTTCACTCCGGGGGCATTGCAGCAAGTCGACCGTGTCCTGAGGAATTTGCTGGGAGGCGTGTGATGTTTGTGGTGAGAGTTTTTGACTTCTCTGTGCTGGGAAGTGGATGATGTTGATGATTCCTTCCTCTTCACTTCAGGATCTGCCTGGGGCCTTTTTTTATGTTTTCTAGCATGCCTTGCTCTTTCTTCACCGGTCAGCAGCTCTTCATTACTTATGACTTGACTGGATATCGTACATTTGGCATGTGATATATTCTTGTTCTTTGTTCCTTCTGTTGCCCCTGAAATTGATTTTGTCCAGCTCCCGAGTTTGCATTAGTGTCAGTAGCTGACCAGGGAGTTGCTGGTAGCCCTGGGGCCTCAGCTATCGTCCTGTGCCCAGACCTTGCAGCACTCTGCTGTCACCCCGGGCCTGTGCTCCTGTAAGCTGCATTGTTCATCTGGAGTCAGAAATACTTCAGTCTGCACAGTGCAATTACTGTTGTGCCTTTATTTATCAAAATTATTAAGAATGGACATTATACTGTACAATTATAAAAGGTGAAGCGTAACTCAGACAAATTAAGGGCATAGCCATCTGGTCATTAGACAATTGCGGTTGCAGCCAGACAAGCTAAAACAAAGCTCCTAGCAAACTGGAGCAAGTCCAAATAAAACACAAGTCCTAAGATCTATGTTAGCTTAATACAAGGCTTGTGGCCTGTTATTAGTGATGTTATTAGTGATCCTAGCATTTACTAGGATACAGGGGTGCAATAGGAAGTGATTTGTGTGAAGCTTTGTTATGTGACTTCTAAAATGGCAGTGCTTTTGGGGGGATTCCCTTCTAGTCAATCAATACCATGACTGCAGGCTCTAATCATGGTATTAGTCGTATCTAATCTAACTTTGAACCACAATCTTACTAGTAATGCAGCCCTTCAGCAAGGTCAGCGCAGATTAAGAGAGTGCTTTACTCAGCTTCTCAGGGGTCCATTCTGAGTTCTGTGGTTTTGTGGCTGCTGTTTTATCAGCCAGTGCACACGTTACCTGGATTAAATCCTCTTAGTAGGCAGATCAAAAATGCCAAAGGCATTCATAGGCACTGAAATTGGGTTTGGAAAGGATAGAAGCTAGAATACATAATATTTTTTATTAATGGAGAAAACTCAAAATGAGAAAGAACAGAAACAGAAGTAAATTCCCCCGTTCTTGCAGGAAAAACACCACCTTCTAGCGGTTTCTGAGTTGGAACAACTCTGTAGAGTCCTTTCTGGCTGCCAAGCCAAGTCTTTCTTGCCATCACCTCTGAGGTTTTGCAGACTGTTGGTGCTTTGGAAAGGAGCAATCTCCATTCCCTCTAGAAAGATAAACCAAATACAGCCCAGCAGGCAGGATAAGGCTAACGTATTGCCTCAAACCTCTCATACTTCTGAGAACTTGGGAAGCAAGCTGACCCTAGTATCCTTTTAACTCTACACACTTTAAGGCACATATGAAACTTACTTGACCTCATTTCTCTATTAAATGGAGATTGCCATCTACAAAGGGTAAATTCTCCCCACTCATTGCAGGGGCGGCAGGGAGGGCAATTAGACTCCTACCACAGATGCCTCACCTAGCTGTGTGTAATAAGGAAAGATGAATCAGGGCTTTTGCTCTTCATTTGTTTTCATTTTATTCTGCTTTGATTAATTGGCGGTACTAAAGTTTTGAGCTCCTTTTCTCTTTATTTTTGTACAAATTATCTCAGGAGCAGAATTCAGTTTTATTGAATGTCCAGTTGATTAAAAAAAAAAAAAAAGTTGAGAATAAAGCTTGTTACAACAAAGTTCAGATACTTGGTGAAACTGGACCAGTTCCAAACAGTGAAAGTTAGCACAGGCCAGCCTTTAAAGCTGTAATTTGCTCCGGTATGATTCAGCATGATCAGCAAGGCCTATTTTTCTTCAGCTAGAGAATAACCTTCTCAGAAAGCTTGTGAGACGAGTAAAACTAGTTGTCAGAATGTTGAGTAGAAAGATTGGAATTGGGATGTTGATGTTGTGGGGGAGACATCTATTTTTTATAGGTTGTCTTCTACATCTTCACAGTATACAAGCAGACGATATGAAAATTTGTGAAGATCATTATCCTGTCCCTGTACCATGGCAAGATGGATTTGAATGTGGTAGCAGTTATCAACACAAAGCTCTCTTATTTTAATCCAGTAGATAAAGCAAAGTCCCCAGGAGTAGATCCCAAGCAGCTGGCTGCAGAGCTCCAAAAGGTTTCTCTACAGCAGTCACCTTTGGTTGCTGCCTCAGGAATGGAAAAGGGATCTCACGTTCACTCTGGAACCACTTCTGCCACCTCCAGTGCCATTCCCAGCCCTGGTCAGCCTGGTTCTCCCTCAGTGAGCAAAAAGCGGCATAGCAGCAAGGTAAGAAACTTCTTAGTTATGCGGCAATAACATTTTGATGACAATAAGAAACTGCCTATTTATCTTCTTTAGTGCAGCAAGAAGACACAGCACATATTGATGAATTCATTTCCGTGACAGTGATGAGTATTACTGTTAGGATATAGAATTTGGACACAAGGAAAGGAGATGGTGCGATTTATCCAAGGTCATAAAAGATTGGGCCCTCTCTGAAAATACATTTCTCGAACTTAATATTGTTGTTTTGACGATTGCCCTTTTCATTATTCATTGCTGTCGCTTAAGTGAATCCTACATGAGGTGAGGTACTAGTTCCACAGAAGAAGCTGGTATTACCAACACCGTAATTTCCCTCTCTGTACTAAGCTACTGTTGGAAGTGTTACAAACTATGAATAATCATAGCAATATTAAGCATTTCTCTGAAAGTCAGGGAAAGAATGAAAAATAAATTTACCATCAAAATGTGTTTTGTCACTAGCTAATTCCTGTGAACTTGTTAAGCATAATTTCTCATTTTCTTTGCCACTTCCTGTCCATTTCTCAGCTGAACTTCTTCTGGCACCCACCTGCACACCTGGAAAGGGCAGAGTGGGAATTTAGTAGCGTTTTTTCACAGTTGAAACTGGAAACTAGATCATAAAGTCATTTGTCACATTTTTGCATTTTGTGTCAAAAAACTTAACACCTGAAGTGAAAATCAATCCTGTGAAGACTGCATTTGCTTAAGCAATTTGCAAGATAGCTAAAGCTGATTGCTGTCCTGGATACTCAGCTTCTCCCTGTCTTACTGTTGGAAGCAAAGATGCAACAAGATGCTCTCTAGATATTTATTTCTCTGTATCTTTATTCCTTCCTGGGACTGTCAGGTTCCTGCTGCGTTATTGTTATGTTTGTATTTTTGTGCTGTTGAAGCTATGACTGTGATTTGAACTACAAATGCGTTAGGTACTGTACAAACAAAAACCAGCAAATGGTGCCTGCTCATTTCAGATAGCTCTTCAATATGCTTACATAGCTTTCATGTGAGGGGAAACACAAAAATGTCTTTCATTCAGCGGTTTAGCAAAAACTGTAAATATATTTATCAATCTGTTTCGGATAGTAATTCTGTCTTGCCACAATTCCCATAGACTTTTTATGAACTAATTCAGAACTATGATCCACAGGTTAAATCCATATGTCAAGATTTACTCCACCTAACTTCAGGGATCTGGCAGAATTGCCTAACCATCAGGTTAATAGTTGGTTTCATTACACCTTTCTCTGGATATTGTAAACATCTGCCTATGTGCCATGTGCTTTATGTTTACCAGTGAGAGCAATGCACTTCTGAAGTACAATTCATGAGACTGGATGAAACCTGCCATTGGAGTGCATGCACTGCATGGAAAGGAGAGGGCAGGGCTCTTAGTGCAGACGTCACTATCTACACTAAAACCCTTTTCATTTGGTTAGATGAATCACACTCCTAAATTCACTGCACAGTGTATAGAGATCCATAAATCCTCAATGTGCAGTGTATCCTGGAGAGGTGCTTCTCCCTGTCCACATGAGAAGATTGGGTTCCCAGCTTTGGCACTGTAGCAGGTCACCTAAAGTTAGATGCATCAATTTCATTTCCTGCTTCACAGAAGATTTCGTAATCTTTTATGAAAATTCAGCTGGAGGCTTATAAAGATGAAACAAAAAATTATTAAAACTAATGCCTTTATGTAGGGGATGCAAAGGTCAAAAATAATCAGGTAAATGTTTAAAACATTCTTCGTTTATTTCTGAAAATCACGTTGAGAGGCATTTCATTTATAACAATTGTAGCTCTTGTTGACTTGTATAGTTTCTGTTCACTGACTGCAGGCCAAGTTTATAATGCTGTTGAGCTCTCTCAGAAGAGAAAGCTACTGCTCATCCTTTCTGGAATGGCTCTTTGCCTTGGGCTGACAGCATTTGTAGGCAGGCTGCAGCCTTGCCAAAGTATCACGACAGACTAAATATCCAAACTGCCTAGATCTTGGTTTTGCTACTCTTCTTATGTTTAGTAAGTAAGACTTTTTTTTAAGCTTTTTTAATAGAATATACACTCCAGAAATGTTATAGGAGTCTCTTTGATATTCTACAGTGCTGATTCTCTCGTGTTTAATGTTTTGTCTTATTACTATAGAGAGTGACAGTGCGTAGCATCAGAGCCTGGCATGAGCAAGTTTCACATCATGGTAATGACAACCTTCTCCTGCAGGTGTGAAGGCATTACAAAGCACCGGCTTTTACACAGGGTGCGTGAGTGCCTGCGAGGAGTATCAAAAGAAATTAGAATGAGGTTAGATTAGCCATGACAGGAGAGATTTAACCTTTGGGAGCCTTGAGCTGACTATATCCTGTGCAGACCTGTTTCTTTTGTAATGTAAATGCATGGTCATTCTATGGTGCAGATTACCTCCAGGATATAAATGCCCCATAGAAACATTTAATTGCCTTTGTATCTTGAAGAATGGGTTGTTTTTCTAAGTCCTCAGATCTTTAGCTCCTAAAGAAGTCAGCAGTGAAATGATTTTCCTTCTTTTCAAATTAATCCTCACTGAGGCCCTGATAAAGAAAGATACTTATTTGCAACTCTGCCTTTCAATTCAGATCCAACTTCAAAGTTGTCCCAGCTCTGAGCTGGGGGTTGGACCAGATGATCTTGAGAGGTCTCTTTCAGCCTGAATTATTCATGGTTTTTTTAAATATTTGGGTAGTTTTTCATGGTCAGTTTTAAATCAGCTGACATCAGAGAGAAAACAAAATATTTAATGTGCTGAATCACAGCCTTGTAAATGAATACAGAGATTTAACAATGATATCGAAAAACAAAAATGCATGTTTATTTTTACAGACAAGTAAATGAAAGTAAAGTAACTGCATGGCTAAAGGGAACTCCACTTTAACCACTTTTGGAAGTTTCCACACAAATTTGGCATGCCTGTTCTCTTTTTTCTGAACTCCTCCTACAGTATTCATACTAATACATTCTGTATTACATGATATTTGGGGTGAACAAACTCATTATTTTTGCTATTCAAACTTCTGAAAAATTAGAGCATTTAGACTATCCGGCAGTGATTTTGTAGCCGCAGCACAGCTAACTCCGTGTTATTTTGTAGCATTGTCAGTATTGTCAGTAATAGTACAGACTGAGGTCAGAACTATTAAAGTATACTAAAATCCATTTGTAGAGGTAAAGTATGAGAAATGTAAGTGATTTAAGCCCTACATTGAAAGTTTGCATGATGCTCAGGTAGGTCTCTGTCTTTGGCAAAAGGAGTGAAATTGTCTTTTGGAATATTCTTTCAAGGACCAAACAAGTTTTAGGAGTACTTTGCTATCAATCTAAAATATCATTTAAGATTCAGAACATTTCATAAACTATTGATGATCTATTTTAGCTGTCAGAGGGATTACACTTCTTTAAAAGCTTTGTAAGGTACCAAGAAAAGCTAATATAAAAATTTTCCATGAGAATTATTTTTGAGAGGCACATGCATTTCCAGAAAAATCAACATTTTTTTTTCTGAACAAGCTCATGTTCATAAAGAAACACATCTAGAAGGCAAGGTAAAGTATGTGAAACAAACAAAAATAAGGCAACACAGGACAGTGAGTATAACTATACAACAGGCAGGTTTGGGCTGTTTTTCTCCCTTGTTTTCTGTTGTGCTAGTATTTGGCTGGGATTTTTCTGGTTAGTTCTGGTCTGCAGATCTGAGCGATTGAGGGGATGTTTCTTCATTGCAAACCTGAAAAGGGTGGTGCATCACCTTAACTTCATTCTCTGGTCCAGGAGACATAGGCTCTGCATTGGCCTAATTTAAAACAATTTATATCCAACATCCTGAGAAAATCTCTAAGGGTTTTTTTGGAGGGTAGGGCAGCACAAAAGAGGCAAATTAGTTTTACGCTTCTCAGAAAGGGAAAGAAATCCTAATTACACAGAATAATATGTCAGGCTGCTGGTCACATCTGGAAAAATAGGAAAAGATTACTTCCAGGTCAATCTTCAGAGAACAGTAAGTTTGTCCTTGTTTGCATCCTTTGTTTTCTGCTGCATCAACCAAGGAAGCAGATGTGGAGAGAATGCAAAAATATTCAATTCCTGCACTGAACCAGAGAGAGCTTTCTTGCTTGACTGATGGCTTTCAAATTAGAGATGGGTCCAGGGTGGCTCAAGAGAACGACCATTTAACAGAACAGCATATTTTTGAGAGTCCGGGATTTGAAGCAAATGGTGGTATTATTTTCCAACTACTAACAAACAGAAGGGAAGAAAAAGGGGGAAAAAAAGACACCGAGGATTTTACTGCTTTTGTCAGCAACCTGGAGAAGCTCAGCGATAGAGAACAGAGATGAATATGCAAGATTATACCTGTGAAAGGGAGGACAGAAAATTTAAATTTCACCTCATGAAAGTGTGTGGAGGAATTTGAAGATGAAGTGGTGTAGCTGAATTGATTATCAGAAAACACAGAATAAAGCAAAAAATATTGTATGAGACGGCTTGCAATTGTAAAATCCACTTATACACATCATTCAGTTTTAGTATTCTTTACCATTCTTTCCACTCTTTCTACCCACTTTCACCTAAACTCAATTTAAACTAGTGTAACCTTTGCCTTTCAATAGAAATATGGCTGTGTTGTGCTTGACATGGTATTTGGTTTCTCTTTGCAACATTCATTTTTTTTAGACAGGGTTAATGCTATATGTCTCTTTCTCCCCATGCCTCCCTGTGTGACCAATCTGCTCAGACTGTAAAGACTTTGGTGTTCAATTTGTCTGATTCTGTACCTGCACGAAGGCTGATCAAAATGGCTGGGCTGCACTTTAAGTGCTGTTGAAATACCATAACTATTAGTTTTGAGCATGCAAATTGGAGACAATTAAACGATTTTTAAAAATATGTGGCAATACAGCAGTATAAACAACACCTGTTAAAAAAGTTAACTTTGAAAATCTATTGTTTCCAATATGCATATATGTATATTTGTGAATGTGTGCCTGTATATTTATTTATGTATTTTAATCTGGCAGCCCACTGAAACTACGAAGTCTGCTTCCCATCCAATCACTGGAGAAATTCAGGTACATACATAGTTTTTACTGTGCAAATTGTTATTGCTACTGACTTTCTGATGAATAGGTTTGCAGAAAACAATCTCTATTAACTTGATTTCTTATTCAAGTCCAACCCCTTGGAATGTCGCTCATGTAAGTCAGTGCTAGATTTTCACCTCTGTCTTTAATGTTGGCTTGTGAAATACAAACAGAAGAATGGAAAATGCTACTGTTCCTGAAGGGGCTAAAAACATAGTGAAATTCATTCTATTCTTTAATCTTTGGGCACTTATTGTGGTTTATTTAAGAAATTCCCAGATTCTCTACATTTAAGCAAAGACTGCTGTGGGTTTCTCATAGTGCAGTGGATTCATTTCCATGCAATGCCAAGTTTGTGGTTCTTTAGTTTTTTACTCTAGTTTTTAAAAACAGTGGAACTGGGAGCAGCAGAATAAATGAAGCCTAATTTCCTATAGATTTCTGTCTTTTGTTTCCTTAATTCATCTCTCTCTCCTATACTAGTACTAAGGGTCTTTCCATAGTGTTATAACATCCTTCCCGGGCTTGGGCTCCAGGTAGTCAGAATTTGTGTAATTCCTGCTCAATAAGCTGGCTATTGCTCAAAATAATATCAAGCGTTCAAATTTCATCTGCTTTTTCCTAACTGGAATAGATCAATTATTCTTCTTTTTTTTTTTTTTTTTTTTTAACCAATACTGACAGACTTTGAGAACAAAATTTGTTTCCAGATCCAACATAAATCTCTAGCATCTCATTCTAGTCAGGAGAGAGAGGCAGAAACTTCTAAAATATGTTTATTTCCAGCCAAAGTAAAGGTCTAAAACTCATTTTATTAAAAGAATTTTGGAAAGGTATTGAATCATTTAGAAAGTAAAAATAACAAATGATCTTACTGTGTTTTAATGCATTCTCTAGCTTCAAATCAACTATGACAAACACCTTGGCAACCTTATCATCCACGTCCTTCAGGCAAGAAACCTTGCTCCCAGAGACAACAATGGCTATTCTGACCCCTTTGTTAAAGTTTATCTTCTTCCAGGGAGAGGGTAAGTGTAGGAGAAATTTTAACCTGAACTTTCTTTTAATTTGGGTTTGTTACTTGTCACTAATAAACAGAACTGAGAGTTATTGCTGTAGAAAACCCAGATACAACACCAGGAAAAATGGCAGATTGTTAATAGCCAGATCCTATTCCCAGGAGAATGTGCATACTTTGCTAATGACCTCATGATCATTCCTGTAGATTTAATTTTTTTTTTTTCCTGTTTCCATTTAAAAATTCTAATACATGCAAAAATATGTATTAAAAGAACAACAGACTCTACTGAAATGTACTAAATATATGTAAGACTTTCTGTAATTTAGAAAGCTACATAGTAAGGTTAAAATAGAATTGTTGCTTCAGCTCAAGACATTCTGAATTTGGGACAGTTTTGCAAACATGCAGGATTACAGTATGTGAGATAAATTTAAGGTTGCAGTATAATACCAAAGGTGATAAATACTAGCCAGAAAGCATTCATTCCATGTGATTTTTTATTACTTTTTTTTTTAAGAGCTAAGATGTGATTTTAGACATTCTGGTAATTTTTTATCTACTGCCTATACAAATCACTAATCACTTTTTCACAGACCACTGCTTTTTTAGACTCTGTAATTACAAATAGCTCATTAGTGTTTCCTTTAAAAGATATATTCCTGTATCAGCAATATTATAACTCTTTTTTTGTACCCTAAAGTTACAGAATGTCATACGTATGCATAAGTATACACGGTTATAATAATCCTGCTGACTTCAGTGACACAATAGTATATCTAAAGCTGATGGATCAGACCTTAGATTGCGAAGAAAATTCCTGCAAACTTCTCTGCTTGTGTAATCACACTCATCCTAAAAGACTCTTAGGCTAGGACCATGCAACTAAAAATCTGTATTTCTGTTCTATTCAAGTAACAGGAAAGTGGATGCTCAGGTCACAGTTCAGCATTTGGCATATGGACAAGCACCACTAAAAGCACATAAATGGTACAACTAAAGGCACGCGTATGCTTTTGTAGTTTGCTAATTCCAGCTATACAGCATTCAATATTGTTCAATATTGTTTGGGCACTGGGCCCAAAACTGTTACTGAATATAATGGGAACAGGTCCTAAATCTGTTTTTTAATGCACCTAAGAGCATTGTAAAATACTTGTCAAATCAATCTTAGTGGGAATTTTGCAGATACATTCACTAACGTAGAAATAAGGCTTTGAACTAGAGAGACGTTCACCCCGCAGAGGTCTAACTCGGATCCAAGCATAGGTTTAAACTTGTCGCCAAGTTATGAAGAATTTGGATTTTAGTTTTGTTTGGGTTCATTATTTTAAAACATGGCAATATTACAGTTTTGCATGTAACTTGGGGCTTTAGGGAATAATGAAAATGAAGAGCTTCTCAAAAGTGCCAAACTTGTTTCTGAAAGCAGAAACTTGAATTGCTACTGAATATTTTTTATCTGTAGTTCAGTCCATGCTAGACTTCTTATTCTTCCTAATGCCTCTATTTCCTTTGATTCTGATACTAGAAACTACCCATTATTCACGTTTTCTTTCATCTCTGTTCTCATTTTCTCTCACACTGCTTCCTCTGTGTTCCTAACTCTGTAAATGCTGGGTATGCAGACAAGTCATGGTTGTCCAAAATGCAAGGTAGAGTGTACTAACTTCCAATTTTATTCTTTCATTTTTATATGCATGCATGATATTATAATAAGCCTGTGCATTGAACTATAGATTTGTCTTGAGCTTTGATGACACGCGATTGCAGCATGGTTTTGCTGTTCTTTCTCTAATGAATCCCATTTCCAGGTCAGAAGGAATTGGAAACAAGTAATTAATGTTCCTCAATGCAATAATATTCTAGGGCCAAACTCTGATGACAAACAAAATTTCTTTTGAAGTCTGGAAGAATTTAGTTCAGAGATATCTAAAAATTCATTCTCACTCACTGAAAGTTGCAAAATAATTAACTGTGAACTTGTATCAAGATTTTGAATGGTGTTACTGCCAAGAGAAACAGTCACTGTTTGGAAATGGAATGGAATGTTTTTCTCTCTACACCTTGCACAGCATATAGACATTAAAGTCAGGCATAATTCTAGATAATTGCCCAGCTGGCTTTAAAGCTGCTTGACCACATAAATGGCTATTTGTGGCAAACAAAGTTGAATTTTTAGTTACTGAAATGACTAGTGCTTTGTTTGTCCTGGAGTTGGAAACATACGGCAAAGCTCCATTGTCAAGATATGCTAATATCAGCCCAAGCTAAATATATAATAATAGTAATTCAGCCCTAATTCTAAATTTGTTTAAAATTACAACCTGACCAAACAAGACAACAGATGAATTTTAATAAACAGTTCTTCTCTATTATCAGCCTGTTTCTTTGTTAATAAAATTATTTAATGAATGTGTTTAAATGCCACATTTTATATGCAGTTATTCTATTATACTTTTTTCATTGTACTTTCACTTGTATTATGAATTATTAAACTATAATTAGGGAAGCATAGAGAAACGATAAAGAAAAGAGTAATGCAGTTTGCATCTTTTCACACAGCATACTCTGTGAATTTCAAGTGCAAATTATTTCATGCTAGGTATAGACTAGTTTAATGAATGGATTTTATTAAAGCATCTCCATCTGTTAATCACAACTGCTTGGGGGAAGTTGCATCCGTGGTATGAACTTAATGTATTTGCCAGATTCTTCCTGTCAGAGGTCTAGAAACCTTCAGCTGTCATCCAGCTTAGCCTGGGTCTGCATCTCCTTAGAAGTGGTCTAGGTCTCCTGCTTCCCTCTGCAACAGATCCAGACCATAGGTTACATGTATTTGGACTAATGCCATCCTTGCCAGTTTAAATCCAGATGCTATATGGACTTCAATGGAAATACTCCAGAGTTACCATGTTAACAACACAGTTACCTTTTGTCACTGCCGGGTCTGAAACTCAACACTGCATGTGTCACCTTCTCACATATTTCTGAAAAGAATCAGAAACTTTGAAAAGGTGATGAAGTTGTAATATTGCAAAAGGAAATCCAGGAAAGGAAAGGGGATGTTTTGGTGTCATTTTCTTGGTTGAATGCACAAAGGGTCCTCTCCTACTTTCTTCAAAAAGTTCCTCAAAACCAGTAGATCATATGACATGTAGACGGGCCCAAGCTGCATAATACTCTCCTGGCTTAGTTAAGGTAAGAAGTAAGTGGGTTATTCTGGGTGTAGGAGGAGTTTGGATAAGTTAATATTTCATTCGTAGTTGATCAGAATAGACAATGTGAGGAGTACTGTGAGCCCAGAGAGAGAGAGATGCTGCCAGCCCAGCTGTGTCCTATGTCTCCTTATGGGTCAGTCAAATCTCATTAATACTTTGAGTGATGGGGATGCTTTTCTCAGATCACAGAGTGGGAAAAGAGGTGTTTAAAAAATGTAAGTGCATTAGTGAATAGGATTTGCCATCAAAATCTAGTTTCCAAAAGGATTTGGATTTTGTATTTCAGCTTTCCTTCCAAGATAAGCAAAGAAATAAGTTTGTGTGAGTTTCTTTTTCATATGCTCTTGGTCCCCCTAGATTTTAATTAATCCTTTTCTTACTGACATACAAGAAAAAAGCAACCTCCTCTTTTTTTTCAAAAATGTACCATTTTATGATGTGGCTGACAGAATTGATTGAACTGTGGAGAGCTGCTGCTTTCTTCTCATAAGCAGAGGTGGACAGATACTTTGTTTCACAGGTCCCAATGCCCTTCACATTTTTTGATAAACTGGAAGACAGTGGATAGCATGTTTTGCAAGAAAATAAATGGAACGGCATAGAATGACTAGAGTAAAACATAAGAGCAAAAATAACTGCAAGTCCCTTTCATTAAAAGGTATCAGTCTAGTAGGCAGCTTGGATATAGCCACCCCCTTTTGGGGAATAAAGCCATTACACATTTCAGAATAATTAGAGGGGAGCACTGCACAGTAGAATTGAGTTTGTAGGGTGAAACTGCTGGTGCTGAAGATCCAACATTGACATATATGTGTCAGTAAAACACGTAACCTTAATTCAGACCTGCTCCAATTTGGTACCATGAATGTACACCATTAGTGACAAGCTGATTAAATGAGCCCCTGGAGTGCATCTTCTGAGTTAATCTCGTATGAAAGGCACCTAGTTCATTAGCTCTGAGACCATGCCACAGTGTGAACCAAAACACAGTTCAATCAAAAGTCAGAAGTGAGAATCAGGAGAACAGCACACTAACAAAAATTAATGTAGGGGGACCATAAGAGAGTTTAATAGGACAGATACAGGTCATTCTGTGGCATTTGGCCTTAGTACTAGAGAACAGTCCTGGGCACTTTTAATTTAGTAATAGATATAGCACATAAGTCCTTTAATGTATGGGAGGTTTGAAGAGAAGACAAAGGGCAGTTGACTTGCAGACTGGCAAAAAGAGGTTCTTTACCTTATATCTTTGCTGGGTTTTCAAAATATTAAAAGCTTCTCATGTTCTCCTACCCATCTCTTTTGAGATGTCCATTAAAATTTATATTAAATTAAAATTGGAATGGAAGCAAAGCTCACAGAGCTAGATGAATCCATATTCTGTTAAAGGTTATACTCAGGAAATGCAAAGTACAATAGAAAGCACTACCAATTCTTTTTAAAAGCAGATTATGCAGCCAAACTTTTTATTCTTGGCTATTGATAAAAACAATCATGAGCTTAATGCACTTTTATGTTTGTTTCCAGTACAGTTAGAGGTATAGGCAGAGAACAGGATCAATAAGAAATTAGTGTTTCTATCATTAACAGGATATTAGTTACTCCATGGCATTCATTAAATGTTCTTGTGAGATGGGACTCCTGTAATTAGAGACTGTAACCTATAAATATAATGGATTCCTAAAAAAAAGATGGTCTTGGAAAAGAAATCAATGCATTATCACTTCAATTTATAATCAGAGCCCAACACCTACAATGAGAGAACAAAGCATACGTGCATGTGCTGACTGATGCTTTATGTTGAAATGGTTGTAGGCAGAGCTAGCCTGCTGAAGAGTCAGAAGAAGATGTTTTAAAAGACCATGTCAGGAAAGCATGCTAATGAAAAAACCCCAAAGGCTGTCATTGTCCCCTTGTAACCCTAAGTTGTTGCAGAAATGAGGGATGCAGTTCTTTTCTTTTTCTGGGTTTTGGTTTGTGGGTGTTTTTTTGCATTAGAACTGAAAGAAACAAAAGATCGCTAATGTAATGTTTCTTTCCTTTGTTCAAATTCAGTGCTGAGTACAAGCGGAGAACTAAGTATGTACAGAAAAGCTTGAATCCTGAGTGGAATCAGACCGTCATTTATAAAAATATCTCCATGGAGCAGGTGCGTGACCGGTAGTACTGTTCAGTGCAATTTGCTGCTTTATCATTTGTATGGCCTGCAGCGCTTACTGTGAAGGGAGCAGTGCGACTGGCAATTCTGTGAACCCCTGTAAAATCTTGCCAAATTTAGGGGAAATTTGGAACTATTTCTTTGCCTCTGATAGAGCTCACTATATCTTTTCTTGTCCCTTCTACTCATAAAAATGGTAATTTGTGGCGATTACACTCATAATCATGTCATAAATACAGATGTGGCAATTTAAATATGATAGTGGAACACAGGGAGGGAATAAATTAAGTCATAAGTTTCTGAAGTAGATGCAGAAATCAGTCACTCTTCGTTCCAAAAGCCATGAAAGCTCACACAAAACAGGTCCTATCATTTTCTTATTCAAAAATATTTATAAAATGTAGAGATACATTTTTAGATTTAGATCAAGCCAGCAATGGGCTTGAAATATGAATAATCTGAAAAAAATGTAGGGGATATTTGATTTCCTTGTTATAGAAAGATTTAACTCACATCTGGGAAAGAGGTCTGTGGAATTCTCTGTTTCTTGGTGGCTTCCTAACTCTAACTGACCTATAGGGTTAACTGAGGCAGTATGTAGCAATTGAGTCCTCTTTGTCTCCCCTTTTCAAGGGACTTTTTACCATTTGAAAAAGGCATATTAAGCAAAATTATGGTCAGTCCATTTGTTTAAATTATGAAGCATATTTTATAGAATAATGGATCTGTACACAGTCCCAAATCTTTTTGCCTTTCTAGTGTTTTGTTCTTGATACATTTAACTTCATTCTTCAAGGCCACCTAGTCTTTCAGTACTTCTTAAAAAAGCCCAGACTTTTAGTGAATAGATTTCCCAATGCTTTTAATATACTTCTCCAACATGACAACAAGACCTCAATATTATCTTCCTAACTTAAAATTTCATTATTCATTCTTCTTGTTCATTGAGAAGAACATAGATTAAGATACTAATTTTTGCATGGAGCAAAACCCTTCCCACAGAAGGACTTACATGATTGTTCATGCAATCTACATATCTGAACTTAACAGGCAGTAGCTCAGATTTACTTCAGAGGTACCCTGTTGTATGTAGTGGTTATGGTTTTCTGGGTTTTACACGCTGTTTCATGTAGGCTTGCATAAATGTTAGCTCATTGACAGTGCAAGTGTCAGAAAAAAAGCAACTGTGATGTTTGTCTAGCTGCAGTATAAACCCTGGGTCTTCTGGGTTTTGTGAAAAGGTTTGTTAAGTCTTAGCAATATTTTCAAACTGAGCTTTCCATTTAAGAAAGGCTTTTCAGTTTACTTAATTTGCTTTCAGGTTCTGTTGAGACGTTTCACAGAGCTGTAATTAAGAGTGCTTGAACATTCAATGGCTGTTTGTGATTTTAAATTGGATAATGATCTTAGTATAGAATTTCTTGGACAGAGGTTTTTATGTCAGAAAATCTAATATCTTTGATGTCAGTTTTTTGAGCATTATTTGATGAAGTTTGCCTATAGGTCCCATACTGAATTCATTGAAGCTTTGCTTTCTATTTTCAAATCTCCTTTTCCCTTCCTCTGAGACTGTTGTGCCGTGCTTATGATTATAAGTGTGTAAGCTTCGTCTGAGCACCACATACGTTGTATATTTTGTCCTTTTGTCACATAGAACTGTGTGCAGGGAATAGTGTTTCCTTCCACACCTTTCCATGGCTTGTATCTAGTAATAAGATACTGGTGTGAGTGATTCTTCTCCTATAGAATTCAGTGCCCTGACTTAGACAATATACAGTAAAGCACATTTCTAAATCACCAAATAATTCCATGCTGATGATAACTACCCGTTACAGTTTGAAGAACTATCACCATGCAATAGTGTATTGTTTGCACTCATAACCCTCACGAATGGATATTTCAAAATAGTTAGGAATATGAGGAGAAGTACAAGACAATAATCATGATAGGCTGGGATCACCAAACAAGCAAAACTGCATCACACACTAAGTTATACAGAGTTAGCAGTCATACCCTAAATTCATGAATCTTTATAAATATCATTTCTTCAAAGAAGCATTTCCTTTCCCTCCATCAAAGCATGGGTTGCTTGCTGACAGCAGATAAGTATTATTAAATATTTCCTAATATAGTCCTTTTAACGTCACTGTCTAGACTTTAGCTGGTTGTACAATTTTTCATTTTCCTTTTCTCTTTCATAACCTAGCTGAAATTAAAGTGAAAATAATTATGGGAAATAGATCACTCTTTGAAATGAAACAGACTTTTTCAAGGTCGGAATGATTAGTTTTATCACATAGCAAATTCTACTTTGACAGTCGGAGAAAAAATAAATTAAACTGTGAATATTTAGTAATTTAAGTTTTTTGTTAAGTAATAAAGTGGAGATAATTACACTTTGAGAGGAAGGCCAAATACACACATTACAAATATTGTATAATAATTGCTAACTCAAGTCAAATACCTACTCAGAGCATGAAAGAAAACATTGGAATGATTTAAGGAGAAGATGGTAAAAGATGTAAGTTCTGTAGTTGGTCAGACTATTGGTATAATGCTTTGTTTGCCTCAATTTCTTACTTGTCAGAAAGCAGATAAAATTATTTCCTTAAATGATGGATATAATTCATTAAAACAAATAGCTCTTGCTATAGGTCATGTCCTTAAATTAAAGGTAATGTATTTAGAAAGAGTAATATTTTCAAAATCCTTGAGTGATGTAGGAGCCTATGTCTTATTTCCAGAAGTAAGAAAAGCTTTCTTATGAATCAGCAAGATACTGGTACCTAAGTCTTACTTAATATCTTGGACAAGAGAAAGTAAGTTTCTAAGTGAGCTAGCAAAAGTCTTTTTGTCCTCCCATGTACTGAAGTATATGCAGCAATATAGAGAAGAGCACAATAAAAAGTTCAATATTAATGTAAACACATATAAGTATAATGCATGATCTAATACACCACCTTCATTTCTACTCATCAAATATCTACTCCATCAAATATCAAAAGACTGCAATCTTTTATATTGTTTCTGAAGTAATTATAGTATTCACTTTCAGCACAGGAGAAAAACAAACTGCATTAAAAGTATTTCTCTCCTCTAGTCATGAGTTATATGAGATTTTCAAGGAATATCTATTAAATATTTCAAGTAACGCATAGTTAGTTACACAGACCCTAATTATCCATAACAACACCCAGTGCTCTCCAGACATTTAAAACAAGAAACAGACAATTCTGTATGTGTGGTATTGATTATGTCTTCCATAAGATAAAATATTATTCACATTGGCTGTTTCTGCATATTCCTTCATTTTCTTTAAATGATGGTTGTCCACAGCAGCCTAAAGCTAACTGGAGTTCATATGCAGTAATATGCTTTTAGGTGGTGGGTTTTTTTGGGGGTGGTTGGGTTTGGGTTTTTGTTGTTGTTGTTGTTGTTTGTTTGGGGTTTTTTGTTTGTTTTGGGTTTTTTTTTCCTAATTTTTCCACAAGGCAAAGCCTGAAATTAGTTGTGGCTTAGTAACACTTTTTTCATGATATGCTTGCAACTCAGATAATGTTCACAACATGTGTAAACTGCTTTACTTCTTTTAGGGACACTTTCTCATTTTCCTATTGATACCATTTCAGTATTGCTGTCAGTTAAATTGCTGATGGGGATCTGAACTTCTGGCTTCATGACCTAAAACTGGATGTTAGGCAGAATCCTACTTTGCTGTGATGGTATAATGGCTGCCTTTAAAATCACTAGCCATTGAGTGTTCTTTGCCTTCAATAGTGGTACATAAATACATCTTCAGAAAAGCAAATTCTTCCTTTTTGAAACTCATTTCATGCACTCTGCCTAATAAAGCTCTTTTGATGGTTTTTCATTGTCATAATATTTTATAAAAGCTTTATTAAACTAAGAGACTTAAAATAGATATCTCAAAGAAATGTAGAGTACTGCAAGTTTTCAGCACAGTTTTGTCATCATACTAATGGAAAGAACCTAGCAAAATAGGGTTGCAATTACTTGCAAATCTTCTCTATTTTTCCCTTTCCACCAAAAATCCTTCAAATCTTTGGGTTTTTTTTTCCTTTCCTGGATCTATACATTCTTCTCTCTGTCCTTGCACAGTCATCACTTGAAACAAGAAGACAACATGTCCTCCCAAAATAGCAACAATTGATACAATACATTTCTGAAAAGTATTTATGCTATTCCTCTTTTTTAAAGGGTAAAAACACATATACTTAATATAACATCTAGCAGGAAATTATATCATCCAGGAAGCTAAAAGTAGCATAAGCCAGTGGCTGCTCAACTCATTTTTTCAGGTTATTTTTCACGTTGCATTTTCGATACTGTCTTGGAACAGCAAAGAAAAGGAATTTTATTCAGTCAAGGAAATCAGCTTTACAAATATTCTGTAAGGGATGTTCAAAAAATAATCTTTTCATTCAACTTTTTCCTTCATTTTTGCAGGATATTTTAAAAAAGAATGTTTAAGAAGAATGTTGCCTAATTGTGTAGAAATAAAACACAGAAAGATTAAAGAATTGCTCTCAAATGTATATATTTTTTTAATCTTAGATTTCAAGTCATGTTGTTGCCTGCTTAAAGAGTACATTGTTGATGCTAAAAATAGTACAATTCCCCTTTGTGTGGGTTTTCCAGGATATGCTGATTTAGACTTGATTTTCAAAGACTGGCTTTGCATAGTTGCTCATTTTTTGGAAGTTAGCTGGGAGCAGAAGGTATTCTGGATACATAATAATGAGATGAAATTATCATTTAAAGGCAATTCAAAGTTATTAAGAACTGTCTGAATCTGTGTTGCATTAAACCAAGGGGCAGTGGAGGTAAATAGCAAACAGTGCTTTTTTTAAATGTATATGTAATATGTACAGTAAATGGTATGTCTTATGATTTTGAACAATGACTTGATCCTTTGTTGTCGCTCTGCCCCAAGCAGCCAATTAATAGTCAGAGCAGTGAGTGACACATTGCTTCTGTTAGGATGGTGACCTCAATTATCACATAAGATTTCTGCTTCTGACCTCTTTTATTTAACTATGTGAACAGAGTCCTGTTTTCCTTAGTAACGCTCAGAAGTGTCCAACAAATTTTTCACTTACAACTTTTCAGCCTGACTTCACTGAATTTTGTCCTTCTCTCTTTCAAGCCACATGAATTTATTACTGCCTCTCTAGCCACCTGCTAGCCTTTTGCCCCAGCATACAACATCAGTAATCAATCCTCTCCCTGCCTGTCCCCATAGACCCCTGGAATGACAGTCAGGTCAATCTTTCCAATAAGGTCAATTGCTTTGGTCAACAGCTTTGCTGTCTTGTGCTATCTTGTCGTATAAAAAGACTTACTTGTTTATTACCATAGCCTGTAGGAAGAGTGCTTGATAGCTATGATGCTTAACGAGATCTGCAGATAATGGGTTTTGATGGCTGTCATTAATACCTAACAGTACAACTTGTCCTGCATGTCTGGATCACTTGCAGAGTCCCACTGACTACACTGAATTGCTGGGGTATTAAAGGCTGGTCTTCACAGATGAGAATGTGTAAATAGGGTGTTTCAAATAATAGATTTGAAATTCACTCTCAAATGCACGTTAGGCAAATGTCTGAGTTCAGACAACTCAGATCTGATGATGAGAGAAGCAGAAATACAAGAATGAGGCTTTAAAAATCAGTAGACTTTTGTAGTGGACACACATTCTGTCAAAAACAACGTGTGGAAATTCCTAAAACAGGGCAAAGCATAAGCCCATCTGTCTTGATAACAAATAATAGCCCCAAATCATTTTTCTGAGATCAAGGTTGATGGGAGGACAAAAGCTGCCTAGCTGTCACTATGAAAAAGGGTGCAAGGAGGAGATACTGAATAGAAACCACCATAAAGACTTGATCAGAAGTTTATGATGGCAATGGGGTTAATTATCCTTTCACTTAAATTGCAGCTGAAAAAGAAAACACTGGAAGTGACTGTCTGGGACTATGATAGATTTTCCTCGAATGACTTCCTTGGTGAAGTGAGTATATCTTATTTCCTCCTCTCTAACCCTGTTTAGTTAGAAAGCTGATTAACTGCATGCTGGTATTTGGAGACTGTTCGCTTCCAAGGTATGGTATATGTGTTAAGTAAAACCTTTGTACATCACAGTTTTACTGCTGACTTCTTAACAAATGGTCATGATTTCTTTCATTTACACATGAAAGATGCCTTCCCTTTATCTTGATAAACTATGGGAAAGTTCATTTAAGACTCAACACAATGTTACTTCACTGAAAATTAAGATTTTTTTTGAGCCTGGGATAGTAACAGCCTTCACAGTGACTGAATGGGGAATTCTTGTTATGACTGATAAGCTGTCTGCCTTGATTTTAACATAACATGGGCAGCCTGAGGAGGTATCAGTCTTTGTAAATGATTAAAGGATTAAATTCTGCCATCAAGCCATAATTTAACACATGCACAAGTAGCTGCAAGTGTGAGTAATTTGGTCTTGCTGATCAAGGTCTCATTTTTAACAGTACAAAATAGTAATATCATTACCAAAGTATGACTGAAGGCAAAGTCTTGTAATTAATAATAAATGAGATGAGTGATCATGGGAAGAAGTATGCTTTCTCTTTTAAAAGCAAATAAACAAACATATGCACGCATAATACAGAATTACCAGCAGTAACTATGATGTCAAAAAAGTAATTAAAAATGTTATTACAAAAGAGAATTATAATTAAAAGAGAAGCCCAGGAAAATCAATCGCTCATGTACAGAGTAGCTCAGAGTATCTCTGCTCATTCTGCATTTGAGTTTCACAAAAAAGGCACTCAGTTCAGCTCCAGTTCCCCTTTGTGTAACTACAAAACTGAGCAATCAGTGTCACTATTTGAACAATTACTAAAATAAATGTATAGGAAGCAGCTACATGATTACTTATTTCCTGCATACTGCATCAGTATTCTTGTTGAGGTCAGCATGTTTTTCCAAATGCAGGGCTTTACTGAATATTTACATGATTGTTATTTATGACATTGAGAAAATGGATGCTCCAGCAGTTGCTTCTACAGGAAGATTTAAATGTTTGCCTTCAAATATTTTCAACCTCTAGAACTATTTTATTTATTAAATTATTCAGACTTAAATATGAAAACAGTTCTTCATGGGAAAAAGGAACGGAAAAGACTATCCAGCCTATTTCAGGACCAGGATGTCCAGAGGAGTACTGCACCATAACATCAAATATGGGATATCCAAATTGTGCCCTAAGGACTTGCTTGAATAGGGCCAGCACTACTTGCGTGCCCCAGCTGGCAAGTGGCACATTATGGTTCTCATCCATGGAATGTGAACCTCTTCTCCTACAAAGCAGAGCCCCTAGCCTATACAGCCTATTGGGAAGAATCCTCAGCCATGCTGTCCTCCAAGTCATTCCTAAAGCCATGACCAAAAACCACACCAGGGAGCATGCTAAATAGTTAATCTGTTCAGGTTAAGTAGAGAGCTAATCAGACAGACCAAGCCAGGTCATATACAACCTATGAAGCTGAAAGAAAAACGGCTTTTAACCTTCTAGAAAAAATCAGTTGTGAAGAGACTTCCCCTTCCCTAAACTTGAAGAGGTTTTCTTTTATTCGGGGTCTTGTAACAAACAGACTAAAACATCATTCCCTGAGGTAATTGCACACTTTATTTGTCTAGCACTTCTAAAACTTCCCTGCCTGACACTAGTTTTAACTCTCTCACCTTAGAGCCAAATGCAAGGCTATTTTTTTCCTTTCCTTCATTCAAGACACTGTGATGACTCTTTAGTGCTTTACATCTCTTGGCCCTCTCAGCTGCAAGACCATTGAGGGAGGAAGGGTCCTTATTGGTCCCAATGCTCTTTTTTTTTTACTTTTTTTTTTAAAAGAAATTTCACAAAACTCCTGCTAGCAATGCAGGTGGCCCAGAGCAGATTTTAGCTACAATGGGGTTTTTTTTTTAGCCAAGTTGCTCATTTCGTTTCCACATTGCCATTGCATCTCCCTTTTTTTTCCCAGTGAATTTTTGAGGCCTAAATGGCCTATTGAATTCTATTATTTTAGTGAAGTGCAAGGGTATCCTTATTCTTTTCTTTTTGTTACAAATTCTGTATATGTGGATTTTTGAAAAGGATCAACAAGCACCCGTCTCATATTATTGCACACCTTATGAAAAACAAATATCAAATTATTTGCGCCTTTACTAACAGTGACAAAAAGGAGAAAATAACACTGCCCAGAACTTCTATTAGGATATGTCTATACAAAGGCAGAATGACTAGATGTCTTTTTAGTCTAGTCTTCAAGCTAGTGCTCACAAGCTACCCTTTAAACTATCTAGCCATCTTGGTATGGAGCTATGTCTAAGCTCATAGTCCTTACTGAGGTCCTGTTGAGAAGACATATTAGTTCAGACAATTCAATACACTAACGAATGTGGGTTTGGGATCACAGCTGGCTTATATCAGGCGAGGTCAGAGCACGGGCAGAGAGTCCTGAATCTGTCAGCACACAGCCTTACACCCTTAACTTCTTACATTTGACTGCAACTTCTGGTAACACAGCTGTAGACTCTTCTGCTGTACACAATCATTAATAGATTAGATACAGGCCATGTATTGTACTTTGATTTATTTATAGGTATTGATCGAGTTATCCAGCGTCTCTCAGCTTGACAACACTCCTCGGTGGTACCCTCTGAAAGAACAGAGTGACAACATTGATCACGGGAAATCTCATTCTGGACAGAGTAGCCAGCAATCTCCAAAACCATCTGTCATCAAGAGCAGAAGTCACGGAATTTTCCCGGACCCCTCCAAGGGTAGGAATGACTTGGTGCACCTGATATGAAATGTTTTGCCAAATGATGGGAAAACATTTGCTATGTGGAAGTTCTAATAGAAAAATATGAATAGGGCCAGCACCACTTGCGTGCCCCAGTTGGCAAGTGTTACATTATGGTTCACATCCATGGAATGTGAACCTCTCCTCCTACAAAGCAGAGCCCCTAGCCTATACAGCCTATTGGGAAGAATCCTCAGCCATGCTGTCCTCCAAGTCATTCCTAAAGCCATGACCAAAAACCACACCAGGGAGCATGCTAAATAGTTAATCTGTTCAGGTTAAGTTACTGCTATGTTACTGAGTTACTAGGTTACTCAAAGTTACTGCTGTGAAGTTTGTATACACTTTTCTTAAAAATGTATTTATCTCAGTGATTAATTCATTGGAGCCAAGGCTTAATTTGGCTCAATCTGTGCCAGCCAGTTTACTGAGTAACTGTGTCCTTAAAACAGCAGCTTACAAGCTCTATGTGCTTTGCACATCTACTATAGATTCTGTGCCCTTTTCATTTTTCTGGTAGTCTTGGCCAAATTCAATACATATTTAGCTTTCTATTTTTCATGTTCCTTAAATATTCTATGGCATTTTATCTTCTGGAAACATCACATTAATATTTTATAGAATAACAATTATGCTATAATAATGCATATGCATTTCCAGTCAATATAACGGGCTGTAGCATATCTCAATTGTATTGGAAATCAGTGGAGCTGATATAGTAGAATTATACTAGTGTTTACAAAAGCAGAATTGATCTCAGTGTCTCCAGCTCCAAGAAATTTATCTCTACTTTTTTTTTTTTTTAATACTAAGTAGTTGGTGGCCAGTTGCTCACTTAAAACACAGTGTATGTCATATCAAAGCAAAAACCATCCCAAATAGCATCCAGATGAGAGCCTCAGAGTGATAAGACTCTGCTCCATCTCCTTTCTATTTCTCTGTATAATGTTTTGCTAGGGATTGGTGTCTTTATAAGATCTATATCTAAATTAGAGGTTAGTATAGAAGCTATTGTAAGTTAGGCTATGGTTTTGACTGGGGCATTCATTAGAATAAAACTTAACATTAGCTAAGTATTCGGTACCAGTGTGAGTGATGCTAGTTAGTCTCTACATACTAGGGAAGTAGAAAGCAGAAAATAAATTAGTCTTTAGGCTACCCTGTTATTCCACCAGTGTAAATCAGCACAAGAGGCATAATTCACAGGTGATAGAAACCCAAGAGTAAATTAATTGTTCCTTGGGCCAGGGAACAGTGGGGAAGTAGAAAATGAGGCTTCGTATGAGTTTCCTAATCACGATATATCCCAAGACTTTGAATGGCATTGCACAGCTTAATCTTTATTCCTTGTTCTGGAATGCAGCTAAAAAGGCCAGTCAAGAGAAAGAAATTTTTTTTTTTTTTTTTTTTTTTTTTAATAAATACGACAGTTGTGCTGCTTCATTTTCTTGGTAGACATGCAGGTGCCCACCATTGAGAAATCCCACAGCAGTCCAGGGAGCTCCAAATCTTCCTCTGAAGGACATCTACGCTCTCATGGTCCATCTCGCAGCCAAAGCAAAACCAGCGTCACTCAAACTCACCTTGAAGACGCTGGGGCAGCCATCGCCGCTGCTGAAGCAGCTGTCCAACAGCTTCGCCTTCAACCAAGTAAAAGACGCAAATAAATTCCTCAGCATGGCAGCTTAATGTTCATCTGTTGCCTTTTTCCCTGCTGTCCTTCCCTTTTTGGCTATTTTTTTTCTGTTCTTGGCACACTGTGCTCACTCTGTCCAATGTCTTTCTTTGTGTGCCTGTGTGTGAATACATATAATTACAATATACTCTTGTATTTAGAAGTCTTTTATTTATTTATTTATTTAAATTTATATAGACTGCAGTGAAACTGGCTGTTTCTCCATCAGTCCCTTCACTCATGGTCCATGATGTTAACCATGGTTGTGCATGACTCACAGAGAATTCCATTGTGTGGTGGTGTTTTGATGTCACTATATAACTACCAATGAAATAATCAAAACCTGCAGAGATGCGGCTGCCAACTCTTAAAGTTGCACACAACAAGTACTGAGAGCACATTAACAACAAGATATATCTATAAATAGTAATCAGGAAGGACAGTGCTATATACACAGGAGAAGATTTAAAGTTAAAGAAAAAAGTTTTTTAATTACATGACTGAGATTTCTATTTTTGAAACACAACTGTAAATATCTAATTTTTTTTGGAAAGGAAAGATAAGGCAACCTTCTTAATATCTCAGATAAAATCATGTTAGTGATGAGCAGAACAGCAATAGACAAAAAGATTAAACACATTAAATGCAAAATCATTAAACACACAAAGCCATTAACAACATCAGATTTCAACAGTGTTATCAAATTAGCAAAGTCAAAGGGAGTTGAGAGCTAAGTCAGGTATCATAGTTCAATTTTTCTAGTAATTTTTGTGCCACGGATTGATTAAGGGTCAAGATAGATTTCATCTGACAGCTTTAAATAGATTAATAAATTAAAAATTTTCCATTTTCCTTTTTCAAAAGGGTTGCTCTCCAGAGCATACTTCAGACTAGTATCTGATTGCTAGCTGAGGGTTTAGTTGATGGCCAATTAAAACTCTCTGACTGTGGAATCATTATGTTTGTCTTCAGGATTTGTTGATATGCCATAAACTTACCATGCTATAATGCAAAAACTGGGGGAAAATTATTTCCCTTGTCTTCACCATCATTAATAAAGAAACAGCCAGTTTTAATACTCTTTAATGCTGTGCATGTGGTGTCTCTTCGGTGTTTGAAAACACTACTTATTTAAATACAGAAAAAAAACCACTTCTGTTTGCATGAATAACATTTAAGCTGGTTCCATCTGAGGATACATACTCTGGGTTTCCATTTCACCCACACTGCCACAGCAGCATATAAAAGCGGTCAGTCTAATCATGCCAGGAAGCAGCACAGACACAGCATAGCAGGAGTCCTCCCTATTCAAAGAACTCAGTCTGACAATCTGCCTCCACCAGCCAATGACAACAAAGACCAAAGCCAACTAGCCCTCAGGAAAGTGATGTCTGATGGACCAGTCAAGCCTGAAGGAGGTGAGCAGAAAGACATGGTTAAGAAGCCAACCACATCCCAAATCCTTCTTGCCATGTCTAGTAATTCATTGCAATATTTAATTATTTATTTTACCCCTCCATTAAGTGCCGTAAATGTTAACATGAATCAAGAAGTCTGCTTGATTTTTCCACATCGGCGCATAAATCCATGATGAAAAACTGTGCTAAGAAACATTGCAAAACAACAAACCTGTGCACTTCCATTCCACTGGAGGACTTAGGCTTCTGTTGAAAAATGGTATAGCTTTGCTTATATTGTTGCCTAATAAAAAGCATGCATCCAAGTTGGTCTGCTTAAGCGTGATTGAACATTTCTTGTACTGTGACAAAACCCTAATTGTACATTTTTGTTTCTGTAATTCTAATTGGGACATTAACAATTTCTTTTTTCTCTCCCAACATAGTTGTTATGTCAAAAGTCATTAGCATAAATAATTTTTCAAACCGCCAGTGGAAAGGAAAAGAGTTTTGATCCATGTACAGCTCAATCTCTTGATAACTTTCCTATCAGCCTCTTAAAAATTACTTTCTACCTGTAGGCACCTGTACATCAAACCTAAATACCACTTATCATCAGTCTATCCCCTCATCACAAATAAAGAGCCAGAATCTCAATTGTTTCAAACTGGCACTGTTCTTTTGACTTCTGGAGCATTTTGCTTATTTCCATGGAATCTGAGGGATTATCCCAATAAACTTACAGACTGGACTCCCAGATCTTCTCTTGTGCTGTAATCCCTTCCCAAGCTCTCATGATTCATTGAAGGTTTTTCTGTCAACACCATTGCACACTGTGGACAATACAGTCTGGCTGAGAAGGTTGTAGGAGAGAAAGAGGGAATGATACTTCAAACAATATACCCTAAAGGCAACAAGTCATTAATAAAACTAGCGTGATGTTAAAACAGCTAATTAACAGGGGCAAATTTAACAAATAATTTTAAACATTGTATTTAGAAATAACAAGTTGTTTCTTATGAGAACCTTAAGAACTCTTCCATATATCTACACACGTGTGCATCTACCCACCCACATATTGTCTTACTCTACACCTCAGCTGCAGACACTCAGTTCTGGCAGAGGCCAGAGGATATCATGGTACTAGTTCAGGAATCATGACTGAAAGGCCCATCCTATTCCTGGGATATATACCATAGAAATCTAATTCTGGAAGGAATGTCCTATGAGGAGTGGACTTTGGGTTTGTCTAGGTTGGAGAAAAGGAGGCTGAGGGGTGACCTCATTGCTCTCTACAGCTTCCTGAGGAGGGGAAGTGGAGAGGGAGGTGCCGATCTCTTCTTCCTGGTATGAAGCGATAGGACGCGTGGGAATGGCTCAAAGCTACATCAGGGGAGGTTTAGGCTGCATTAGGAAGCATTTCTTTACTGAGAGGGTGGTCAGACACTGGAACAGCCTTCCTAGAGAGGTGGTCGATGTCCCAAGCCTGTCAGTGTTTAAAAGGCATTTGGACAATGCCCTTAATAATATGCTTTGACTTGGTCAGCCCTGAATTGGTCAGGCAGTTGGACTAGATGATCATTGTAGGTCCTCTCCAACTGAAATATTCTATTCTATTCTATTCTATTCTATTCTATTCTATTCTATTCTATTCTAAATAACTCTTATGATCTTTTGAAGTGTCATATCTGTACAGATTTATCATAAATACTTGTAGTCCTGTGATGCCTTTTGGCATAGACAAGCAATGCTAAAACCTTTTGCTTGTGATATGAGGTTGAATCAGGGTTCGCACACACTTTTATGATAAGGAAATAGCTAGGCTGTTGGCTTCAGTACGCTTGCCACTGAACTGTTATGCTAGCTTCTTTACTTTTAAAATTGCAGGAAGGATATATATCGATAAGCATTTGGCTCAGCAATATTAGAAGCATCATAGAGAGTTATGGGCTTAAGAGCCCACGTTAATATCATTAATATATGTGAGGTTAGAGTTACTATGAAGAGACATGGTACTTTTGTCTTTTTACTTCTGACAAATATACACAATGCATGGTGACCTACACAAAGTTTACAAGTCTAGTTTCAGATCTGTGAGAAGTTTTGGCTTCTTCTTATTGTACCAAAACTAGATTGTCCTAGTTTATTCATATAAGGTGGGCCAATAGATACCATTTTGAGGTTAATGGATCTCATGCATTTCAGCAGG